AGTTTGGTAGTTTTCGGGGGCATGAATAATATGTCCTTCATGGCAATTGAAGAACTTTGATATCGGCCTGACCTTGAAATTATTTTCCTGTTGGGTAAATTTCGGTTTGCTCTAGTTGTTGGTTGTCAGTCTATCTGGCCAGCTGTAAGGGGGCGCTCGCACAGTTCCGACGTATTTTTTCAGGAGGCTTACCATCGTTGTCTGGACTAAGAGCTGGAAAGGATGAATATATATCAGGAGTAAGAGGCATTCAATGGTAAGTCACAATCAAAACTGTCAAAATACTATTGAATCATGTATCATATTGTTCTTGTTAATGTGAAATTATAGGAGTAGTGGTCGACTGTTTACTATGACCTAATATAGTTCTATATATGTTTAATATGGCTTTAATATAGACATACGCACGACTAATATGCAGGGTTTTATCGAAGGGTGATGCATGCATGCGCGAGCAGTCAGTATACGCTTGTGCTTACACGGAATGCGCACCAAGGAGACCGGTGAAAGTATCGTTATAAGGGCATTCTGATTATATCCGCAAATCATATAATGGATATTCAAATGCCTCGTAAATTACAGGCTTGCACAGCAAGTGATTTCAACTGCCATATTCGAACCTAACAAAAAGGTGAAGTTCAAGGAATAACTATATGGCCGCAGGGTCCACATACCACAGATCAACGCTGAAATCAACCAAATTCCGGTTATATGCTCATAATGCCAGTTGACATTCGGAAAGAGATCGAAATGGCCGAATACCTCCGAATTAATTAAAAAGACACTCTACGCAGATCACATCCCAGTGGGCAGAACGCCACCGTCGTCAGGACAATCATGGAACTTGCCAATTCTACTTCTCATCGCCGCAATGGCACTGGTTTTGGACGGACAGCGCCGCTCTAATAACAAACGGGACGCAGTTTGGACACAAAAGGCATCTGTACTCACACCTCATAACTATCAGAAACATCGAGTATACTGAGGGAATGAATAAAATTTTCATGAAAATTCCATTGAAAAGGAAGAAAACTGGGAGTCTGCATTGGAAAAATATTGAAATCACATCTCAATGGTCAAATGACAGGCAGGATGAAGAACGCGTGTCTGTAGGCTTGCACTGCCGGACTGTAGGGTTCAATGAAGACGCATAGGGGGGGTGGAACGTCGCGAATAAACATTTTCGGGGGTAATTCAGACTTGTTTGAACTCATATAGCGTTTAATTCAACACGAAGAACCGGTTCCAGGCGTTTCTGGTCCTTACATTACCAAATATATTTTGTCTTTGGTGTGACAGTTGAGGAGCTTATATCTACCCCATTAGCTTATAATAGCATTGGGCGTGGAAGGCCTGTTTGTTAACTTGGGAGTGGACCAATCGACCGAGCTAATTCGTGGCCGTGGGTTAGAACACGTGCAAAGCCAGGGAACGTGCAGTTATGCACTAAGAACACAAAGTTCTGTTTAATGGATAGTATCACAGGCGGATAAATACCATAACTATGGACGATCTGTGGCGGTTCGCTTCTCCTTGCCTTCCGCCTTTGTCACGCTGCTGTCCTGTCCGCCTCACACTCCGTGTCGATACGCTCCTGGGACGCGCGAGTGCTCAAAGCCAATCAACGCTGTCCCAACTCTGATTGGCTGGCGGACGTGGAGACAACAAAGGGCGCACACACGCGCAGACACAACACCTCGAGGGCGGACGCAGACAACAGCTTGCTTGGAGCGCGCTTGCGGCGACTGCCCACACAGCCTTTGTGTACACGCTTTCCAAGCAGTAACGTTTGTCCAACTCAAACCGTCTTCCCTGACTTTTGATTGGGAATCTTTATCTTGTCGACCACACAACCTTTGACAATTGGTGACTCCTTACGAGCAGCAATCTTCGTTCTTCCTAATCTACGACAAAGTCAGACGTTGATCATGGACAACTTTCCACCGGAAGTGCAGCATATTTTGGCACCCGCCTTCGGCATTCTTTCGGCCACGCAACTCACTCAGATGGCCGATCGGCTTATGGAGATGCGCGGTTTTTCCAAGCCGTCTATTTCAGCACTCTCAACTCTCTCAGCTCCTCCTGCGTCTCCCATTTCGCAGTTAGAGATCGAGCTCAACAAGCTGGCCGATGATGTAGCCGCTCTCTAGAAGCCCACAGTTTCTGCCTCATCTCGGAGCCAACCGCAGCCGCCCACCCCGCATGTCCAGTCTTCACATTCAGACAGTCCAAATGCAGCTACCACCTGCTGGTACCACACCACCTTCGGTGCTAAAGCCCGTCGCTGCATCTCTCCTGGCTCCTTCACTTCCAAGCAGAGCAAACGGGTTAAACCGGTCAGCCGGAAGGTCAGTGCAAGCAATCTTTCCGACAGCTCTAAGCCTGGTCGCACATTTTACGTCCGCCACAACAGGAGTGGCAGACGTTTCTTGGTTGACACTGGTGCCCAGCTAAGTGTCATTCCACCCACACCAGCTGATCGTCGGTGCCCCAATCCCGGTCTTTTCCTACAGGCCAACAACACATCGCCTATTACCACATTTGGCACCTGTTCCCTCTCTCTGGACATAGGTATCCGGCGCCTCTTCCCTTGGGTCTTCGTCGTTGCTGACATCCCCTGTGCAATTCTCGGTGCAGATTTCCTCGCCGCTTTCGATCTTCTGGTTGACTGCCGTCAGTCACGTCTACACGACAAGACTACCAACCTCACTGTCCGGGGTATCTCTTCCTCCGACGCCTCCCGTCATCTTGCCGTCTTGGACCCTGAACCCGAGAATCCATTTCGGCAACTCCTCGCCAAATACCCCGGCCTCACTCGTCCCAACTTCAACGTTTCTATTCCACCACATGACGTTGTTCACCACATTCGGACCACCGGCTTTCCCGTGTTTTCTCGCCCCCGCCGTCTCGCGCCTACACGTCTTGCCGCCGCCAAGGCCGAATTCGAGCATATGCTTCAAATGGGCATTATCCGCCAGTCTGAAAGCCCATGGGCCTCACCCCTCCACATGGTTCCAAAGGCCGCCACTGGTGACTGGCGCCCCTGCGGTGATTAAGAGCCCTGAAAAACGTTACTGTCCTGGACCGCTATCCTGTCCCACATCTTCAGGATTTTGCCGGTGCACTATTCGGTAAGTCTGTATTCTCGAAGATCGATCTGGTCCGTGCTTTCCACCAAATTCCCATAGCCCCAGAGGACGTTTCAAAGACGGCCGTTACCACCCCCTTTGGCCTCTTTGAGTTCCTGCGCATGCCGTTTGGACTTCGCAACGCCTCCCAGACCTTCCAAAGGTTCGTAGACAGAGTGCTTCGCGGCTTACCGTTTGTCTACGCCTATATCGACGACCTTCTGGTAGCCAGCTCCACCGCCGAAGAACACTTGGAGCATCTGGCAACGGTGTTTGACCGCTTTCAACAATTTGGCGTTGTTCTCAACCCGTCCAAGTGCGTCTTCGGTGTGCCCTCCCTAGAATTTCTCGGTCATCTGGTCGACTCCCTCGGCATTCGGCCTCTTCCCTCAAAGGTTGCCGCCATTCGGGACTTTCCACCCCCTACCTCGAAGCGTCAGTTGCAACGGTATTGTGAACTTTTATCGCCGGTTTCTACCGAACTGTGCCGATACCATCCTACCTCTGACCAATCTCCTCTCAGGTCCCAAACGCACCTTTGAACTTACACCAACAGCACTCACGTCATTTGAGCAGGTAAAAGCCCTTCTGGCTGACGCCACCCTCCTGACTCACTTCCACGCTGATGCACCCATATCTTTGATGGTCGATGCCTCCAATGTTGCTGTTGGCGCGGTTCTTCAACAAAGTTTTCCGGATTCTACCGTGCCTTCGGCTTTCTTCTCCAAGAAACTATCCAAAGCCGACACCCGCTACAGCACATTGGGACGTGAACTTCTCGCCGCTGATCTTGCCGTAAGGCACTTCCGGCATTTACTCGAAGGTCGAGAGTTCACAATTTTCACTGATCATAAGCCACTCACGTTTGCAATACATTCCCACTCTGACAAGCTAAGCCCCCGGGAGATCCGTCACCTGGACTACATTTCGCAGTTCACTTCAGACATCCGCCATATTGACGGGTCACGGAATGAGGTGGCTGACACACTCTCAAGGCCCCCTATTGCTCATCTTCAGCTTTCACCCGGGATAGACCTCGCTGAGATGGCCGCTGAACAACGCCGTGTCGGTCCACCCTGTAATGAGGATGTTTCCGGACTCCAACTTCAGGAGCTACCACTGACAACTGGCAACGGCACTATTCTATGCGACGTATCCACCCCATCTCATCGTCCATTTGTGCCACCATCTCTTCGCCGCAAAGTTTTCTCCTCCCTGCACAATCTCTCTCACCCTGGGAGTCGAGCAACCGACAAGCTGGTTTCCGACCGCTTCGTCTGGCCTGGAATGCACAAGGACCTGAAAGCATGGACACGGGCGTGCCTCGGCTGTCAACGGAATAAGGTCCGACGGCACAACAAAACTCCCATTGGCACCTTCCCTACTCCGGACGCACGGTTCAGTCATATCCACCTGGACATCGTAGGCCCCCTGCCTCTGTCCAATGGCTGCTCCTATCTCCTTACCTGCGTGGATCGATTCACCCGGTGGCCGGAAGCTATACTACTGCCTGATGTCGCAGCTCCAACGGTCGTCAAGGCTTTCCTCAGTCGTTGGGTTGCCATTTTTGGTGCCCCCTCCATTATCACGACTGACCGTGGTGCCCAATTTGAATCTCACCTCTCCCAGTCTTTACTATCCTTTTTAGGCTGTACTCGCATCCGCACTACAGCCTATCATCCGGCAGCCAACGGGATGGTCGAGCGGTTTCACCGTCAGCTGAAGGCCTCCCTACGCGCCGCAGACGATCCGAAGAACTGAACAGACCACCTCCCCCTAGTCCTCTTGGGCATTCGCTCCTCCCTCAAGTCGGCCCTTGATTGTTCTGCCGCTGAACTCGTGTTCGGTGCCACCGTCCGACTTCCCGGTCAGATGATCTCGCCAACCCCGCGAGTTGCAGTTGAGGATCCCACCAACCTCCTGCATCGCCTCCAGCCATTCCTGCGGACACTTTCTCCGGTTCCGCCCAGGCCATCCGTCTCCGAATCTTACCTCGAGAAAGATTTGGCGACATGCTCTCTCGCCTATCTCCGATTTGATCGAGTCCGCCGGCCCCTGGAACCACCCTACGATGGCCCCTTCCGAGTTATCTCTCGTGGGACGAAGAACTTCCGCATCCAACGCGGCACTCGCGAGGAGGTCGTGAGCGTGGACCGTCTCAAAGCTGCCGTCCCAGACACTACTCCGGATGAGCCCTGTGGTCCCCCACCCCCTGCTCCGCCTCCGCGACCCTCTATCCCTCCGTCCCGTATACTTCCTTTGCCCCCATGTCCGCAACCCACAACTGCAACTACTCCTTCATCAACCAACAACACTGTAACCGCGAGCCATACTCACTCTACTCCTGTGCCCCCTGTATATATCACCCGTAGTGGACGCCATGTTCACTTTCCTGACCGTTTCGTTACTCATGTTTTTTAGACATCAACAGTTCCTTGGGCGCCGCTACGCGCCACCTTCGGTCTAGCCGGGGGGTACTGTGGCGGTTCGCTTCTCCTTGCCTTCCGCCTTTGTCACGCTGCTGTCCTGTCCGCCTCACACTCCGTGTCGATACGCTCCTGGGACGCGCGAGTGCTCAAAGCCAATCAACGCTGTCCCAACTCTGATTGGCTGGCGGACGTGGAGACAACAAAGGGCGCACACACGCGCAGACACAACACCTCGAGGGCGGACGCAGACAACAGCTTGCTTGGAGCGCGCTTGCGGCGACTGCCCACACAGCCTTTGTGTACACGCTTTCCAAGCAGTAACGTTTGTCCAACTCAAACCGTCTTCCCTGACTTTTGATTGGGAATCTTTATCTTGTCGACCACACAACCTTCGACAGATCTGTTGATCCAATCATAGAAGACATCTGCGCTCTGAGCAAATATTTTCAAAAAACCAAACAGAGGACTTCATTCCACAAAAACTATATGGACAACACTTTCCCGCAATCTATAGTCCGAGAGACCGAGAGCCGCTAATAAAAGCTAAGAAACATGAATCTTCAGAAATCAGGGTGTAAATAACACGCTGTCGCTTCCATACGCTCTTGTTCATAGGCAGGCAGGTGCCTCCATACGGAAAACAGTCCACCATAAAACGAATTTGAGAGGACGCGTAGAATTTTGTGACTTTGAATACAATCGTATACGAGGGTCTAGCATGTGTTTAGGTCAACTCTCACACAATTTATGGGTTCATCTCCGCTCTAGAGAAGACGAAACATGCTTTTTGCCTACTCGCTCGTACTACCAACACTTGTTCTCCGGAGACCATGGGTCAAGCGATCAATTTTTATGAGCGTTTTCCCTAAAAGGGCACGTTCGATAAATTTCACGATAAATATAGCCACAACGGAAGATAAAATCCGAAAAACATGCTTGTGACGAGAAAAACCCGGTGTCTCAATCTCACGTTGAAGGGCAGTGTGCGTCAAACATGCTCAAGTGACGGTTCGTTCGCACAAATGGACGGACTTACACAGTTAGTGGCTCATCGTATCTGAGTAAAACATTTGCATAGTCCAACCAACTAATGCTACCATGACTATGAAGACTGCATCCAACCAAACTTATGTAGATGCAGTAAAGGGTACAAATACTCTGGGAGAACATAGGGGCAGCTGACAACACAGTTCGTAGAGCGTATACCGAAATGGCTGCTGAAGGAAGAAAATTTGTTAGTAATTTTGGGGGCAGGCGCGGACAGGCAGCCGCAAGGGAAAATAAGATTAAGGACGCCTGGTGTACGAGTAAGAGAATCGATAACCTGGCCTCACATTCCGACTTTTAACGCTCAGAGCAATACTTCAAAAACTGAACTGGAGAATGTAGGCCAACAGAATTCAGGAAGATCATATTCACACGCAAGCAAGTGATATTTAGAGTAAAATCGCGCTCAGCATGAAATGCTTTCAAAGGACGAGAGCCAAAAGTGCCATTGATATTAGAAGAGCAGAAAATGACAAGCAGTTGAAGAGAGTGACTACTCTGCATCGCAATCTGCAGTCAGTGTCCAAAATCTGTCATGGGTAGGTGAGAAAATTCAGTAGGCGGATGGTAGAGGTTCGCTTCAAAAAAACGCAATTTCGTCCACTACGGCTTTCCCCGCGGCCGTTGCGAAGATGCTTGTAGTCAAGATGAGGTAGACTTCACTATCGGGTCCAAGGAGAACTGATCATACCTCAGTGGTAAGAAAAGTGCACAACCACCACCTTGCGCTAAAGACATCCTGCATGACAGGAACCTGGAATTTCAAACGAAAGATGCGGATGCTGAACTATCTGCCACAGCGGGAGGGAGCCTAAATCATCGACCGAACGACTGTCCAGAACATACGGGTTTGGTGATTCCGCAAATTTGGGAAAATAAAGGATAGTTGGGAAATAATCGGATTCAAGTGTTGCAAAAGAGAATCTGGAAAAATAATAGGAAACGAAAACAGTCACGATTTCTCACAAACTGCAGTTTCACAGGGAACCGGAGAGGGCTGGTGGGACATGTTATAGACCAAGTGGGTTGAGTTGATCGGGAGGAACATGAATGCTCGTGACCTAAGTGCTCATCGACATTCATGCCCTAACATTTCAAACATAAGAGTAAAGGTAAAGTAGGCCGCAAAAAGTATATAGCAGAGCACGCTGCAAAGCATACACGCGAATTAATGGCAGTATGGACGTGCGTGCGGCCACTGCGACACACAGGGCAACCAATGTTTTTGCGGATGGGATAGTCTTGTTATCCAATCACGTATATCTACAACCCCATCGCGAGGAGTCACCATAAAAGTGTATTCAGTCACTATAGGGTTCAACCGTTGCTGTAGGAAAATAAGCTACGTAGACTAAGCTCAGCTGTCCTATTATAGGTCTCAGAGATAGAAACGAATGTGTTATTGGGGGCAAAAATTCAGTCGAGGGATATCCTAAATAATTTAGACTTGCCCAATTTTGGCCAAAACACGAGTCCAGATCCCGACTTGACCCAAACATTGCCTTCGATGGCTTTGTGAGAATAAGCAATTGTTGGTTTAGAATTTATTTCGACCGATTATAGTCGAACCGTCTCTAGCAGAATCTGAAATTTGAAAATGCAGTTAAACACAACTTATTTACTGAAATAGGGACTGCCGAGTCGGCGTAATTTTTCGCAGCTGTCGTGTTTTTGGGAAATTTAGAACACTGGCATGTCACTAATGGGGAACATTCTCCACCATATTCCCTCTCGGGGTGCACAAATTTACGCTAAAAACGAAGCGATGAGGACGGGATCATTGCGGACAGGGTAGTCTTGTGTGCTTACTCTTGATCGCTAAGCCAGTAAAGGACTAACGCGTTTTATCCGATCTTCGGTTTTACAGTTTGATGGGCTTACATTTTGTCGGAAAAGCGTTTCAGGGCACGGTGCTAAGACCCCTTACAGTGCGGTTGTACGCGACCACAGGTGTGAGGATCCAGTGTTAACAAAGCTGACCCTCGGAACTAACCAGGACTGCAATACCTTGAAACTCGAATTGGGTTTAACAAACATTCGTATCCTCAATGCCGAAGGACTCTATCCAGTAATCTGTTCCATTCTAGGCTCCGAATGGAAGCTAACACGCAAGCGTAACAATGGTGATGCGAGCCACGGACAAATCCCTTCATTTGGCGCCTGGACACCACGGGACCCATAGGTGCTAATAAAAACCTGGAGGAACGTGGCAAGTGTCCAGCCTCCGTATCGTTCCTACGCCTCTGCCCATCAGTCTTCCCTCTCCAGTCGGAGATCCGACTGTGTAAGACTATAACCAAAATCCAAACCCCAGACCGATCGAGCAATGATGCGCAGTGAAGTTAAACGGGCATTCGCTGCTCGATTTGCCACCAGCAATTCAACAAAACAGAGTTCCGGACACAACATAAGTCACCCATTGTGTCAGACTACGACTGGCGCCGTGGGCTGACGCCCTGCCGGCCAGAGAGGAAATAGGACAGGCAAGAGGAACGCGGAAAACCTGATATCTTTAAATGCATCAATGAAACGTAATGAAACTCTAATATGGATGCTGGTGTACATCCAGTGCTCAAAACAGATAAAACAAATGAACTCTTGTGCACAAGGAAAGACAGGCAGTTGGAAGGAAAGAGGGGGAGTTGAGGGTCACAGGTGAGACGGATAGTTAGACACAAGTAAAGAAGACATTTTTAAGCATCACAGGCGCTGTCCACGCCCGACCGACCCGACGTCCATTGACACACAGCACGCTCGGTGTGGGCACACGGATCAGTCTAAGACGGATGTCCGACAGATGGGGTAGTGGGGCGGGCACAGCTGGTGGGCCGTCGCCCTCGGCGTCATCGGATTCACTGTTGCCTCCGGCACCCTCGGCAACAGTGCAGGCATCGAAAGTGAGCACCAGGCGTAGGAGATCAGCACTCACGTCGCATTCTTCAACGTAGGGATCAGGCACGGTGAGCACATCCTTCACGGCTGGACCAACACCCTTTGAAATTACAGAGAAAAAGGCTTACTACGGGAGGACTAAGGGCAGAAAGTTCGGTTATACTAGTTTAGCTTTGTCATGAAAAGTCTTTATAGGTGTTTTGGCAGATTTGATCGACCTAAATGTGATTAGACTCACAGCTCCTGGTGATGCCTCGCAGCCCAGGCGGCTAGAGCGTTGGCTGCAATCAAGGCTGTCCCTTGCTTTCGTGGGTCGCCGAGTTTTTCAGAGTTGGGCCCGAATAAATTACTCGACATATGTTAAAAGACTTATAACTTACGTGAGCCTGCCAGTCATCTACTAATGTCTAGGTTGATTGCTTAGGACATTCTGCTTGGGCGGTCATCTTATAGCATCAGGTTTGGTGGATTCCATGCGTCGCAATAGGCTGGGAGGGTAATTTGGCCCAAATGTGATTAAAATTGCGGCTCCCAGCGGGGCCCCGTAGCTCAGATGGCTAGAGCGTTGGCTGTACTCAAGCCTCCCCCTACTGTCATGGACTTGAATCCCACAGCGGCTGCCGAGTTTTTTTTTACAGTTGGATCAAAATAAAGTCTTGTAGAAAGGAGATTCGACCGACAGAACATCGGTCTAACTAGCCCAAAGTTTTGGATTCCAACTCTAACCAAACATCAAGAATAGAATAATACTTAAACAACGCCATACCCACACTATGGACAGCTCATATGTCAAAGATTAATACTGCCGTGGGGATAACAGGGACGACTGGGGTGAGGACTAGATTGCAGCAGGGGAGACGGACGGAACATAGACTTGGCACTCTCATTTCACAGCAATTAGGACCCCGACGGTTCGCCCAGCGAAAGCAATAAATCCCAATGGCAACACGACTGAAGGTGCGCATGTGGGAGGGGACTGAGTTAGGATGCCTCCGCACGCCACGCAAGCAGGTCAGACTTAAATCTCTCGGCATCACAGCAGAGAGAGTTGTCATAGTGTCACAGTAAGGTGCCATTGCCAACCGGCCTTGAGTTGCGCGGACTGACTTATGTCTTCCAGGGGACAGCGATGACTAAAAGGCGGATCCAATTTGGCATAGAAATCGAGGGGCGGTATCGGTAGCACTCCGTTTTCTTTCCTCAGTCATGCACCGATGGCTAAGCCAATTTTAGTCGGGTGGGATGGCTGACATTGCATAAAGCCTCCTTCGGTCGCCTGCCGCACGACAGTCGGACACAGTTTATGTGACCGATCACATGAAATTTTGGTTGAAATGCGTTTTCGATTACAAAGAATCACTTGGTCGCAGTTGTAATACTGATTATCTTGTGGCATAATCATATAACATTTCGGACTTG